GGGGGGCAGGATGAGGGAAAGGTGTTAAATAAAAGCGACTCATATAAAGAGAAATGGCAACAAATCAACAACTAGTTTTCACAGTAAAATGCATCAGCTTTGTAGTTTCATTTGAAACCAAGAACAAATCATGAAACGTCATGAAAATAAGAAAAAAATCTCCTAGAGTGATTACTAAATGAAGTTAAAATTATCACACTATAATCAGTAAACCCCAGAAGAAAAGCAGATGCCTTGTATCACAGGTTCTACATTAAACAGTATACATTTAAAATAATTCCATAAACTCTGTATGTTTGGCAACGTTGCACATTTTCCCCCTAAAAAATACAGTGTACAGAAAAAAAATCTCAGTATTCCCAGTATGAACTCCGAAGTGTAAGCTCAAAACCCAGAAGTTAAAGATCAGCTAAAAGGATTTTAAATTATTTACAAATCCAGCAGTTAGAACTATCATAATGGCTTCATTTCCATCCTTGTAGTGGCTTTCACTCTTATCCAGCAGCATCTGCAGTAGATATCTCTTGAGACAGCTTCATCATTGATCATCTGTCATTTTAAGCAATTCCAAGAGCGCCCCAACAGCTCCAAAATAACCCTTTAAACAGGACAAGAAAAACAAAACTAATCAAACTCCCAAATTAGACATACACATGAACATGTAAAGCCCCCTGTTTTAGTAATGCAATTAAAAAGACCTTTCTTACAAGATGAACCCTAATATGCCAAGTATTTTCTGTACCTGAACTACAGCATGATATGCTCTTAAGTCCAAGATAGCGTTATGTCAAGAAAATTCTGATACAGTTCTCTAAAACCATTAAAAATAAATATATATATAAATAAATATATAACCACAGAACAACTATAAAGATGCTCTATGAAGGCAGTGCAGTTTCCCTTATAAGCACAGCCATCTGAAAATCCCCTTAAAAACATCTGCCAAAATTCATTCTAGTTGAGGTTTATACGGAACAACACACAGAAGAGCACATTTGGTACTAGGGTCAGGAAGCAAACTAAGATGTGCAACATTTAGTGCAACATTAATACCACAAGATTAGTGGTCAACCCAGGAAGCTAATGAGAGGTATTTTGCAATGAACTCATAATGAAATATTTACGCAGAACTTAGCTTGTACTTTCACTTTGAAGCAACATCGTGAAAAGTCTCCACTTCAACTCCATCAAAAAGTCAAAAACAACAAGGCCTTTTCCTTACCAACAGAAGTTCAACATATATTTCCTTACCTCATGTTCCAAAAACAGAGCTTTCAGCTGTCCCTTGGACCAGTAATCCATAGCATATGCTAGCACCTTCATTGAAATCATATTAATTCTGAGAAAGTTTCCAACAAATACCACTTTGTCGATGTTCTGTAAAATTGAAAAGCAGATCAGCAAAAATTAGATTCAGCTACGCTATTCGTCTCATTCAACAAGTACTTCTGCCTCTACTATGAAGCTATATGGGTATTTTGAGATATTTAAGTTCTCCAGACAGAGAAGTCTCAAAATAATTCTAGTTATTGACCACTACATATAAATGTCGCAAGAAAAGAAGTTTTATTCCAAAGAGTGAGAGACTGGTAAAATAGATGGTGAATTTTTGCTTGGAAGCCCATGACCTAACCTTCCACAGGAGAATTGAGGGAGCATTAGAAATATATTCTCCAGAGTCCTCCAGTGAAAACTAACAGCAAAATCCTGCCAAGATAGGAACTACCAAGGGCTATATATTCATACAATTTGATAAAGCCTAGCACTTTGTACATTTTGCTCTGCAGCAATCATTTCACTACAAACTGCAGTTCTGTAGTGTCCAGCAACATACTACACAAACACCTTCACCTGAACACCTAACACTGGAGAGCAGGGATATCCAGATGTAAACATTTATTTAATCTCCAATGACTTTGAGTTACAATTGTGATTACACTTCTCAAATCAGACACATGAAGACACATTTATTTACATAACTCAGGGTTATAGTAATACATCCACTTAGACCCTGCAGTCCCATCAGCATGCATTTGTATGCTTTCCTACGGATTTACATTGCTCAAACTGAGAACTTCTCAAGCTTCATAAGGCTCCTATTAAATATGGCCAAAAACACTCTGCATCCTCTGACAAGTCAGTTTTGGCTTTACAACTCACTTCTAATAAAGAAAGGATAAACACATAACTATTTTCCTGTAAGTCAATACCACCAGATTGACTAGAACTTATGTCTCAATTTCATTCTCATCAAAATTTTTTTTTTTTTATGAATATACACATTAAGTTGTTCATATCAGAAATTCAAGCAAGAAGAACTTAACACAAAGTATAAGAATTATTTAAAAACTTAAAATAATGGTCATATTTGTCTACTAGAATAGCAGTGTATACTAACATGCAAATTTCCTATCAGCTCTATTTTCCAACATTAACAATTGTTAACTGTGTGAAATCAAGGAATCTCCTATACACTAGAATTGAAAAGAAAACAGCTTTAGCATTTTTTAGGACTTAGAAAATGAGCTACTTTATCTCTTAAGAGAGTCTTGCCATCTTACTTTCAAATTGTTCACAGCTGAAGTATCTGAAGTTGAAAGAAAGAAGCCTTAAACTTAAAGGCTGAATAAAGTGATGAAATGCTTGCTTAAGCTAATAAAACTATAAAATCCTGGCAAAAATACGCACTCTTCCACTCTGGGGTTTTGGCTCAACTATTCAACTGTCCTGCAGTAGAAAACTATAGTATACCTTTGAGTAAAGTACATATTACATATACACATATTGGTCAATTTAATTGAGCACTGGAATTTATATGAATGATGCAATAAGAAAATCCATCCTGCACATATTTTTGCAAGAAGGCTTGTAAAGATGTTTACATGCTCTGCTAGTATGAGACGTGTAAACCAAGAAGATTGGTTTCCTTTACGTTGATCTGTTGTGCCTAGAACAAAGTGTTTCAAATGATGTGTAGCCAAATAGTTTCAGACTATGGAATTTTTCTACTCTCCTGCCAACTTTGTGCAAGTAAACTTTCCTTTGAAGTTCTGCAGGCTGAATATTTTATTTATTCCCCAGCCTTATTTTTTCCAGCACACATGCAAGTCATTTTCAACACAACATTAAGGATGCAATCACTGAAGAAAATTATGAAAACCCATGCTTCAGGGCATAAATGGATTTTGTCAAAGTGAGCTTCACCATTACCCTAATCTCATACACACAGCATTTCACAAAATAATACCAAATTCAACTGTTTTCTAAGCACTCTCTTGGCTATTTCATTCACCAGACCTGTTGCAAGTTAGAGCTGTATCTCACAAAAACAATTTAGGTGTCTGGAGTATTTGTTTCTTTGAGGAAAAAGTAACACTATCTAGAAAGTAGCCGCCTTGCAACAATATACTACATTTGAAGCCTTTTCAAATAACATACAAAGCCACTGAATTAAGTTTTCTTTTGTTAAAGTCACAGAATAAATTTATTTCTCAAACATTAGGCAAATTTTACTTTAATGCTGTCTAGGATGTGAAGCATACTTAATATATTAAGTTACTCTCCTCTGTAAAATGCTATGGATCACATCTAGTTTTTATATGTCTGTCCACAAAACATAAATGTTAGCAACTTTTTCACCATAACTCAGAAGCATTAGTTTCATTAGTAGCCTATTTCCTCCACTGAATGCATCGCATGTGGTTCCCTGCTGCAATTCTCCATGCTTTGATAGCCCTGTACAATGCTGCTTGAACTCCATGCCACAAGGCAACACTGTAAAGAAGCTGAAAGCAAAGAGAAGACTTGAAAGAGAATCATCAGGACTGAAAAACTGCCAAAAAATGTACGTAGCCACTTCTCACAACAAAGAGGTTATCAGTAACAATTGATATGAGCACACACAGACGTTTGCTGTTCAAAATATTTTATAAGCGGCTCTAGAAAAGGATATTAGCAACAAACATTTATTGGCATACGAATTTAATCAGCAGAATCAAACCAAGAAGTCAATGGTATAGAAATGCTGAAGAGATTTAGCAGCTTGAATCAAAAATGGTAGATGAAATTCGAGATTAAGGAAATGAAATGACAGATGGAGATGGGAGAAAGACTTTGGTACTCAGACACAAGTTCTAGATCAGCCACTACCACTCAAGAGAGACTGTGATTAAGTGAGAAATTATTAATTATCTGGTATTTCTTAAAGCAACAACAATGAAAAAAGCACCCAATGAAGCAATCAGATGGCTTATCAGATGGTTTGAGAGTTTGTTTGGGGTTTTGGATAACTTCTTTTAAAAATAAAAAAAACCACACCTTTTTAATAGAGAACACTGCAGAGCTAAAAACAGTGTGTGAAAAAAAATTAGACAAATTTCTGGAGATCAGACAGAAAAAGAACAGTTACAATATAATAATGAAGGATGGAACTTACAGCTCAAAAGAAATCCCTACATATTTATAAGAAGCTGGAAAGATGTACTCAACAGCCCATCCTTAGTTACCATGTCTAAAGAAAAAAAATTCAACAAGCAACAAACAGGGATCTTGAGTTAAAATAATAAACTGTATTTTCTCTCTGATCCAATATAGTAAATACCATATCTATGACAAGATTTAATACAAAATACAATTCTAATCCATCACACTATGGAAATAGGCCAAGTAAAACAATCTGTCATGGTATAACATGGTCTGTTATTAACTAAGAGGTGGTATAAAGGCATTAATTTAGATTAGAAAGGTATTCATGTTTTATTACAGTTTGAGAACAATTGGGCAGCTCCAAGCATTAATGGATCAAGCAGAGCTTTAAAGCCAACTTTTCTGCCCTCTTCTCTACTTCTGAAAATCAAAGTACCTTATGTTCTGCACCAAAGCATACGTGACACATCCAAAGAGCTAGGGCAGAGCATTAAATAGATACTTATTTACCAAGGCCAGCTACATATCTACCATACAGCAATTTGAATTTTTGTATTCTGATAACATTACTGTGTTGTTGCTAAATAGCTTAAGCTCATAGTAAATATGCCATCTTACCTCATTCAATGCACACATGCGAGCAATAGAACCAATGTTGTTGGTGATAGTAACCAAAGTAGCTCTGGCCAAGTCCTCTTTACTGATGGAATCTCTCTTTTCTTTACTCATCATATGGCCAAAGCTGTGGGAAGAAAATCATTCCCTTTAACATGAGATATTTAGGAGCACTAAAAGCCCTTAGAAACATATTCATTATTTAATACGTTTCACTTGGATTTGATATCTGTTATCCTTAGACATAATGAAACATGAAAAGTGATCATACTGAAAATACAAAGAAATAAGATTCCTCTTCATTAAGTAACTAATTCAGAAAAAGCAAACTGCATAGAGTATTGCTTGTATCTGCTTAAAAAAAAAAAAAAAGGGGTAAGAAGTAGGTGAGAGATCCAAGGACAAACTACATGATACATTCAGAGTGACAGTTCCACATGGACACAGTGCATAGTTCAGGGACTATGCACTCAGTTTAGCATAAACAGTAAGTTTCCTATGAACTCCTTGAAAACAGCTTATTTAAAGTGTACCTTGAGGCTACAGCAGACCCTTGAAGGCCAAACCGCTCATAATCTCCTCCGTAAATATCCTTCACCAGTTTATCCACATTGGTGCTGTCTCCTTTCGCAGCCATTTCTAGTGCTTCTTCAAACGTCTCACAGCCAGTCAGCAAGCAGCAGAGGCCCAGGAATGTTCCTCCTCCCAGGCTAGAAAAGCACATTTCTTTCAGATCAGCAGCTTGAACTAGCTGTCACCACAGTTCTTCAGATTCTTGGTTTCAAAATGCTCTACACAGCTACCAACGGTAATATTGCAGCTCTTGAAGAAATGAAGAAAGAACCCCTTACTGAGCTCCTGCTTAACAGACGTTCGTAGTTCTAACTGAACCACTCTTCCTAATATCTAAATAGGAGAAATCACGCCAAATAAATGCTCAGTTGACAATATGGCTCAATCCAACTCTGCAGATATTTGTCTGCTATTGGTGGCACTCTAGCAAGTTCTCTTTGGATAAGAATTAGCAACCAGCAGATCACCTGAGTCAAAGATAAGAGAATAAATGGCAAACAAAGCTAAGCATCTCTGCTGAAGTAAGTAGCTAAGATGGATCTTGTCTAGTTGGATACTGTTCAAAGCAAAGCATCAGCCCAGAATGTATGCCTTGGCCTCCATAGAACTCAGAATAAGGAGAATCATATCATTTGAAAAGCTTGCACAGGATGAAGTGCAATACTTACAGACTTTAGCAGGGAGTATTCAACTATGTCTAACAGATTATTAACTCATTATTAAAATCCTACTGTGGACCCTGCAGTCTTTACAGACATGAACTTCAACTTACTAACCTCTACATACTTCCTTACTCTTTCATAACCTTTGATAAAGTTTACTTATTGGCACAGATCACAGTCATGCTGACTGGAGCCAGTGTAAACAAGAGGACCAGTGAGACACATTTGCACTTCCCAAAAATCACAGAAGGTTAGACAGGAACACTGTCAGTGCTGTTAGATTATTAGGAAAGTCTTTCAGAACACAGCCAGTAGTGCTCTAATACATTCAATATCTGAACAGTGGGAAGCTGACATCAGCCATGAGACAGTATTGATTTCACCATCTGTAACAAGTCAACAACCCACTGCAGTCATGTTTTCCCTTTTGTAATGGAAAGGACTAGAAGTTCATCCACTCACACTGAAAGGGCGGCGCTTGAAAAACAACCAGAAATGCAAGAAAATCAAAGCCTCTTAAGTTTGTGTTATTTTGTATTATACAGAAAACAGCTCACGTCTACATTTATGGTAAAGATATTCTAGATAATGCAACAGAAGTCACATGTACAGTCATTTGCAGTGCATACGCATATGAAAAACTTAATTAATAAGAACCATGCCCTGAAGAACAGAATGCAGCTTTGGAAGGGACTATAACAAATCCAGAGCTTCTCTGGTTATTGCTTTTGAAGTGGACTTTTTTTTGTTTAAAGCCCTCATATTACTAATATGAAGCATACCAACGAGGGAAAAAGTGCATGGATCCACGTGTGCTTTTAATACTAGTTGAAAACATGCACATCCAGACTAAAATAATTCCTACATCTAAGCATTTACTGTGATCACATCCGTGAGTCAACTTAATCATGTCTCAAGCTGTTTTGTGACATCAAGAGCAAAATTCTGCACCTACGCCACTGAACTCCTGAGCTCTTAAACAGAGAGACCACATCTTCATCTTCTACTGAATACAGGCCAGAGGCCATTTCAACTCAGTTGCATCTCACAAATGATTCCAGAGAGCACTAGCTGACACCTGCAGAAATCATACCGATGCTCAAGAACACAGATAATCAAGTTCTAGGCTTTATACACTGCCATTCGTTAACTTACCAGCATCATCCAGAGTCTACTGCAATCATTAAGGAAGCAAGATCCAATAAGATCCCTCCGCCAAAAGTGATAGGAGGCAATTCTATAAAGTTTTCCTGTACTCTGGATACACGTTCTAACTATTAAGCAAGAGATTTTTGCTCAGACCAAATGTTTTTTACTTCAGCACTGTGGCTATTATGGAGGATCAAAGCGCAGGGAGAACATTCATTTACCAGGACCGATCTACTTCAGTAACTCACAGCAAGAGAAAGGAAGTAGAGAAGAACACCAAGAAGAGATTAAGGCAGCTCTGAAGCTGAGGGGATAAACGATTTCACTGATCCAAACCCTGCTCTGACAAAAACCTGGGCTATTTCCAGTCTTACTACTACTGAGATTTAAAAGGCATGGGAAGATGAACACGACTTGGAGCTGCATCTACAGCCACTGTCTGCTTCTATCTGTTGAATTACTGAGCAAATAAATAAATATTTACCTGGATCCTGTGACTCTCTTATAATTGTCCTTAGAATACACAGCTAGGATGCTGACGCCCGAGCCCATGTTAACCAGCAGCATAGGATACGGATTATCAAGGCAGTAAGGCTTCTTCTGGCACTGTTCAGGATCTGTAGGATTTTCAAAATAATAGCACTCTGGTTGGCCATTGAAACCAACAGAATCAACATAAAGTAGGCCCTGGATCAAACAGTCCAATTCATCCAGTTTGTGGAGTTGCAGATCAGCAATCTGGAACGGAACAAGAAATTAATAAACATTTCTTAGTATAATTCTACACTGAGGAGAGAAAGCTCTGATGAAGCATTTTGATCACTTTAATAAAAAGCATTATGCTATTTAAGCAGTGCAAAGGTCTAAGCATGAAATCAAAAGGAAATGGTATCAGCCTGATGACAGGTTCCTCTCAAAACAACGTGCTATGCAGCACTGCCCTTCAGTTCCTTTACTTTCAAAGTATTCCATGCTCTGCAAGCAGTCCAGGAAATATTTCCCTCTCATTTACTGTCTATGGCAGTAAACATCTCCCCCTTTATCCCCATCCCAAGAGAGATGCCCTCAGGACATCAAGCGTCAGGACAGCATCTGACACTGGTGGGCAAAAACGCAATCCTCAGGATGCAGAGTGCTTTAACTCATCATCCAACTACATTTTCCCAGCAATTTAATACAGTGTTTGATAGAAGGAGTGAGGTCAGGAAATTGCAGTTAGACAAGAAGATAATTCAAAATTTATAAAGTACACATTTTTATAATAATATGAATTAGGTATGCAGTGGATTATGCACATAAAATGTTATTTTAAAGCATTTCACCAGTGCTATGAAAGCTGTTTCTTTAAAATTTCAATCAGTATTTTAAAACACCTCATGAAAAAATATAGTTTCTTACCAAATGTTGGGAATGCTATCCAAAAAGCAAACAAACATAACCTCAAGCACACGCCCCCAGTATAACGTTCATAAAAATTTAACGCTACCAGACGGCAGAAAAAAATTCTAAGACCTTAGAACAGAGATTCTTTCAGATCCCACAGGTCACCCAGGACTGTGCTTCAGCAGACAGTCCTACATCTCACAGCACTCTGTTTACCAGAATTAGAAATTAGACTCATTTCTAGAAATAGGATATGGTGACAATCTGTAGGAAGTTTCCTTTCTAGATGACACTGAGTTCAGAATAGAAAAATTGCTCATCCAAATCCTGTGGTCATTTGCATCTTCACATCTGCACAACGCATTTCATCTGCTCCACTTCTACCAGAAAAAGAAACAGGGCACTGGCAGCAAGAAGGAGCTGTACAGGTTGGAGCTGCTTCTCAAATATTTGCATATTACAAGATATTTTGTTTTTTAACAGCTAATGTTTTATGAGATTACTTCCCTCCTATTTCTAATTCTGGAAGCCGTATTAAGTCACTATAAAGAGAAGTTATTTCTGTGGAACAAGCACAGCCAATAGGTTACATTCTTTTGAGCTATTTAAAATCACCCCCCTTAAGTTTTCTCACTCACGCACAGCTCTAACTTGTCTGGACTGAAAGCTATTCTACTGTTGAGGTCTGTCCTCTTTTTGTGTGTGCCAGTACTCAAAACCATAGAAGAGAAATAATACAAGACAAAAACTAGCAAAAAGAAACCAAGCAGATTAAAAGACTTCAGTGTAAATGCAGTTATTCATAGGACAACAGACACAGGTGGGGGTCATTCCTTGTGCATCAGCATTTCCTCTGCTACATTTGAAATCTCTCTCTATGGTTTTCTTTGTTACCATGGGCTACACAAATTTCAATTGCAGAAGTGCAGTATAAAAGGCTTGAACAATTTACCAGGCAAATGAAAGGAATAAGCACAAATCGAGGAGTGGAAATTAAGGGAACATTACAAAAATCTTAGGGCTATTTTTGCAAACATCTTGGATTTCAGCTAATTCTTGCAATTAAAGGAAAAACCTCCAAGAGACCTGCAGTGAAAGGGATTAACACAGTAAACGATTCACACACTTCTTCCACAATGTTATATACAGTCCATGAAGTCATGACTAGTTAGAGGCTCTATTTGTTTTATTAAAACCCACAAGCATTGCACACAGAATCTTGTTCCCAACAGCTACACTGGCCATGGTAGCTCTCTGGTTGAAGTGCTTCAAAAGCCCCACTTCCCTCATTTACTCTATTAAATGTATGAACTAGATGCAGCATGACAAAACGTGATCTAACAGAGATGCATTACACACAAAGATGCTGTGAAACAGAAGCCCACAACACGAGGAGTCATTAGCACATTTATGGTCCTTTCTGCCTGTAGGCCATGCAACCACAGCCAAAAGTGTTACACTTTCACAACTAGGTAAGCATGAGTGCTTGCACAATACCAGCAAGCAATACAAACCTAAAAGAAAAACATTTCTGGCATCAGAGCAGAAACAGACAAAATGCTTGTTTCTATCAACTCTCTGCTGAGCCCACAACAGAGCAATAGAAGCTAATCAGAAGTTTCTTTCAAGCATAAGTTTTATTAGGTCCAACCTTCCATGTACAAAAGACATTAAAATTTACTCTGCTTTTCATGGTTCTGTGCTATATATAATAGCTGATATACTGTAAGGAGAAAAGCCATATGCTGCTTTCTTTTATGTATAATTTGCTAGAAAACAAACCACTTTTCCTGCACAGTTACAGCAATCTGTTTCTCATTTCTGGAAGGCTGGAGCCTGGCATGAGCATTCCACACGTATGCCTGCCCCAGAGACCCATGAGCCCTTCACCCATCCCATCTCAGAGTCTCTGGGCAGAACAACAAACCACCAGTTTTTTTCCTCCCTCAGCACTAATCAGGACACAGTTGCAAGAAACACAGTAACCCAACCTCATACAAGGAGCCTTGCTGGAGCCAGGGCCACAATCCCTTCCCAGTCCCTTTCACTGTGTATAAAACTGCTTTTTCTCCATTCATTCTTTGCTCACAATGACCAAAGCGACTCAACTGCATCACAAAACAGATGTGCCTGTAAACATCATAACTAATGGATGAGCAGTCTTGTTTTTTTTTTTTCCTGCTGCCATCACCTGACCTCACCCCATTCTCTTCATCCATATCTTTCAGCTATACAAACTGCTTCCCTCGTGGGAGCTGAAGTTTATGTGCAGAAATGCAGAAGAAAAGTAGAAGCTCTGTGAGTAAGCCAATTTTAATGGGATATTTTTCCTACAACTTTTTACAAAAACGCATTTGTAGGTATTTGTAGATGTCTTCCAGTCCTTTACATCCGTTGGTATGAAGGCAGACAGCATACTGTTCTACTTAACCTGCTCAGCACTCCTGCAATTGTATTCAGCATTCATCTCCTCTAGAAGAGTTTTATGTCAAAGTGCTGTGAGAGGAAAACCAGCAAAACAGAGCAGTGTGCTGGGTCCTGAAGGGAAAACTTAATATAGTTACAGGAAAACCATGTGTACATTTTATAACTGAACTATTTTTCTGCCTTATGGCTAGACCATAGAAATTCCTCTTTCAGACTGTTTTTAAATATTGGGGGAAAGAAGGGAACAGAACACAGTGGACCTCAAAGAATTCCTCAGGACCTCCAAAAGCAGGAAACTCAGGAATTCAACTATTTCAAGATCTGGATGCAACACAGTAAGGGAGTGGTGATTGCTTCCAACTGATAGTTTGAGCCTCAGCAACAAACTCCTGAAACAGAGCTTATTTCAAGGATGTGCAAAAGGTTCCTTGTTACTATACACAGATTGATCCTAAGGAAAAGTCCACCTCTAGTTTTAAACATCTGAGGAGCACTGGAAAGCAATACTGTCTGCTCAAGGCTTTTTTATAATATGCTCAGGATCAAGACAGCTTTAGCTGTATTCACATATCAGACAGTATGATAGCAACTCAAACCTAGTAAGATCAACACCATGGTGATCACAGGAAGACAGCTGACAAAGCCTTCCTGACAGGAAAAGACCATCAGTGTCAACTTGCTGCTCCTTTCAAGTGTGGAATCACAGGAGTGAAAGACTTGGGTCATGTCTGTTTGTTTTCATGAGCATGTAAATATTTCCACCTCAGGCAAGGAGAACACCAAACATCCCAGCTCATCTTCAGATGAGCTGAGGGCAGCCATGACCTACATGCAGATGGAAAAAGCTTCATAGATCAACATCGGTATGCGTAATCAGTATGCATACATCCCCTCAGCTTGTGAAAAGCTTCATCTCGTTGAAAATTCAAACTCTGAGCTCTGGAACTTCAAAAATTAGATGCAGTTTTGAGTTCATCTGGTCTAGGACTTCCAATGAGAAATAGGAAAATACTTCTAAAAGAAACTGTTAGAACTGCAAGAACTTGCAAGGTTTTAATTATCAGCTACAACAGCCTTGTTCACTGCATCACCTTGGCTTTTATATTCCTTCCAGGCTTTGCTCCCATTTTTTTTTTTTAATTATATATAATAGTTCAGTATATCTTTGCTTTTCGTTTCCCTCCCATTACCGCTTCTCCACTTGATAGATATGTACTTTGCTTTATGCTTTGATTGCTCTGACCTCAAACAAAACCCCTGCCCCCAAACCTGCTCCATTTTGAGCTCTAATGCAGCTCCTTCCACACCCTGAGGCTGGAAAACATCTACTCAGAATCAAAAAAGACAAAGACTAATGCAACTAAAAGGTCAGCGTAACATCCACTGAAGCAGAAGAGAATGCAGGACACCGCATTAGCTTTGGGCAGTAAAGCACCAGCTTGGCATGCTCTACAGCAGAATCCTTGTCCAGGTGGCTGAAAAGATGCATTCCCTCTCTTGCCAGAGAGAAGATGCATGCTGTCACTCCCCACTGCCCTCTGAAGTTTCCTAGATTCCTGCAGTGGCAGTAATGGAAGGTATCGTGGCTACTTCACCTGCTCTCTGGATTACTCTTAACTCCAGCCCAGCACCTATAACCCACAGCAGGTTTCCAACCTCCTCAAACAAGTGAGCATGATTCTTACTAGTCTTATGCAAACCTAGAGTTACACAGCTCACACATCCTACAAAACAGGGCAATAAGTTTATAAAGATGAATACTGGAGGTTGCAAAGAAGACTGAGCAAAGCTCTTGTCAGTGGTGCCCGGCATCAGGACAGGAGGCAATGGGCACAGACTAAAGCACAAGAGATTGCATCAGAACATCAGGAAACACTTCTGTGCTGTTGTGCACAGACACTGAGTAGTCTCCCTCCTTACAGATCTTCAAAAGCCACCAGGACATGGTCCTGTGCACCGCGCTCTGGGTGTCACTGCTTGAACAAGACATGGACCAGATGGGCCCGCAGGTCCTATCAACTTCAACCGCCCTATGAAATACAGTCTACTGATCATCCATAGACAATGTTTATGTCACAAATGCTAAGAAGAAAGTTCTTTTTTCTCACAAGTTATTTTTCTTACAGATTATAAGGAAGGTCAAAACCTAAATTTGTGCTGGTAACAGACTTCCTCTTCCACCTTCCAACTTGCTTTACTAAGTGACTGGCTTTTGGCTCAGGTCACTGAAGCCAGCAGTGAAATTTCAGCGGAGCCAAGTCAGGCTCCCCAGTTATCAGGCAACAGGAATTTTGCAATAGGGCAGGCTTAGAGAGAGATCTGAAGAGTTCTTTCTTCCTTCACCCCCCAGGCATCCTTGATCTGACTTGCTTTACAAATGTAAATGATATCTTAAGAGTTTATTTCTCATAATGGCATGTGAAATGTGAATGGCCGTGAAAGTAACATGACTGCTATCACAGAAGAGGCAAAGAGCATAAAAGCTTTATGACAGGTAGATGGGGGAGTAAGTCCATGTCCTTTCCATATCTAAAGAGGCAATGTGGCTTAAACATTTATCTCCTCTATGAAGAAAGGCTAAGTGAACTGGGTCTGTTTAGCCTTGAGAGGGGACCTGATCCAGGTCTATAAATATCTAAGGTGTGGGGGGCAAAGTGACGAGGCCAGACTGTTTTCAGCAGTGTGTGGAGACAGGACAAGGGGAAACGGCCAGAAACTGCAGCATAGGAAGTTCCGCACAAACGTGCGCAAGGACTTCTTTACGGTGAGGGTGACAGAGCGCTGGAACAGGCTGCCCAGGGAGGTTGTGGAGTCTCCTTCTCTGGAGATATTCAAGACCCACCTGGATACCTTCTTGTGCAACCTGGTGTAGGGAACCTGCTTTGGCAGGGAGGTTGGACTACAATTCTGTGATTGTGTGATTCTGTGATTTATAGAAGATGGGAAGTGACAGTAAATGATTGGAGAATGGAGGGAGAATGATCAGAATAAGCTGACAGATTCATCTATAGCTTAATTGTACTGTTATCTAAAAGTAACAGTGAGCCATAAAGACCAGTTACAATGGGAAGGAAAAAAAGAAACAAAGAACCCCTCACATATACACAAGAAAAAAAATAAGCTGGAAACAGTTCTTTCAGTGAATTACTTGCTGGTGCTCTTCAGTGAGCATTAAGTGTAACTATACTGTTGGTAAAATTACTTCATTGGTCTAGTTTAATGAATGCACTCACTTTTCCTACTTGTGACGGAAGCATTCAGGTCTTAGAAGCGAATTAAGTGATCTGAAGGCTACTGATCATTACTGCTAGCAGTCATCACACAGTCCTTGACAACTTTTCCAGGTCTGTTTCTATCCAATAGCATGCATCACAAAATAAGAGGTCAGTCAGATATTAGGCTTGGCACTTGTTCTCTACTTCTGTAGGTACATTAAAGCGACCAAATATTTGGATCAAGCATTTTAATACTTTGAGTGCACTTCTGAAGCTGTTGTCCAATGTCAACTTATTCAGCAGAACACACTGTGATGGCCAGCTGCTGTTAAAATAGCTAATGTGGCATGACAATTTAAGTGCTCGTACCCAGGACACTTCGCCCTTCTAGAGATACTAAACAAGCAAACCCTCACGTAATCGACAGCATTTTGCTTCTGTAATACTCCGTGGATATCAGAGCTTGAGCTAAGAAATGTTTGTTTTAAAAGACAGTGTGGACTGAGTAACAGCAAGAAAAGGTGTCCAAAGCACTCACCTCAGGTGTAAGTGCACTCCACTGATTGCACAATGCTGTAAAATATTCTAGACAGCCCTTAGTGTTTTTCTTAAACTATCTGCACGTAAGTGCTGTAGCACACAGCACAGGATTTATGTCCATAGGTAATTAGCTATGAGACCTCATTTTCGTACAACAGCTAGCCACAATTTCAACTAAAACTTCCAGCACTGCATCCAGCTGAACTCAGCAAGACTGGTCCCTCACTGAAAATTGCCTATTTTCAGCAGATGAGGTCAAAGCTATGCAGAGAGATGCCTTGCTGCAACAGTAACCAAGTAAGTTCCAGTTCAGTTCCACAGCTAAGGGAACAAGGTATGCACACTTTCTTATTAAGGAGGCTACTCTAGAAGTACTCCACGACACAAAAAAGAAATTTGGGAATACTGAGCACTCAGAAGAAATAACCAGCCTCTTCAGAAAACCATAAAATGACCTCCAATTGCTACTAGATAATGTGATCTGAATCATCCCTGAGCATATGCAACTGGAATTAAGGCCATAGTGACTAGTGCTAAGATTCACCTCAGTCCATGGTGCCTGACATTACCCACATAATGCAAGACAGACAAGATCTGTCCCTTTTGACAACTCCATCATCAGTAGAGCCTAACACGCAATTTGTAACCAGCCTAAAGGACAAAAAAAGCTGGTACTAGCAGTGGACAGTTACAGCAATTCAGGAACTTGACAGACACCCATTAAACTGGCTTCTTTCACGTCAAACACGTCACTTACTGAAAATCACTGCACAACAGAGTTGGAGTTCTTGTTCATCTCTTGCAGAACTCTCTTCCCTTGAGGAATTGGAGGCTCTTAGTCACCAGATAGGTGAGGGGTATTAAAGAAAAACCTGCTTGTATTGCAGAATGCTTGGAATTAAAAGCACAAAGTCTGTAATTCAAAAGCAGTTGTTAAATGGACATGATAACTTTCTATACAGAAGCAGTTGCAGATAAGCAGCTGCTGTAACCTGTCACCCCCAGCAGCTACCTCACCATCAACATCAGGTTGGAAGCAAGCAACAGAAGCGTCAGAACTGTCTAAGTAAATAACTGACATTAATCTTTGCAAGAACACTCTGGTATAGGATAACTAGCATGACAGGTAACTGCCTCCCCAATGACTTCCTCAAAGAAGTCTCAAAGCTATCATAATACACTCTCAGCTGATTACAAGGCAACTGATCACCACAGCAATACTCTTCTGTTTACTTAGGACACACGACACAGTAATAATTCAGGTAGGATACACACCAGCCTTCACATCCTCTCTTGCCCCCCCCATGTTCTAAGCAATTCCAGCAATTAGCAAATATGCACTGATACTGTTAATCTTAAAGACTTCTGATGAGCAAAATGTGTTTTCTCTGGAAGTTTTAATTGAGAAAAAGAATCCCATGATTGGTTTTACTTTTTTTTTTTTCCCCTTCCCACCCAGGTGCTTCCCACTGAACTCACACAAACTGTTCACTTACCGTTCTGAAGTCCTCCTCAAATTTGTAAGCTCCACCTCCCGTGGCACAGAGCGTAGTATGCAAACTGGAGAAGTTCTTTTCACTACCCATCTGTATGAACCTGTGCATGGCACAGCTGGGAAAGCGGATGAAGTGCAGGTTTCCTTTGCGTCCACACATGGTCAAATTTTTCAGTTCTAGGTGAACATCACGAATGCCAGTTTTACCATAGGCTGTATTGGAGGTCAGGTATTTCCTAATGCTTTTCAGGTTTTCCACCTCCTCTTGTTCCTCTTCTGCAGTAATGTCCTTAGGTTCAAAGTAGACCAGTTTAACCAACGTTCCACCGATATCCATTCCAAACCATGGAAACGCTAAGGATGGAGGTGTGGGAAAAAAGAAAGAGAAAGCCGCCATAAATACATAGGTTAGCCATAGCACTTAAAATATTTGTTGAATAACAGTTCAGTGAAAGTTACAGTATCAGCATCTGTACCTGAAAGCCTGTGGTCACTTATGTATCCAATTCACGCGTACTACGTCCTAAGACAAGACTCCATAAAGCCTCAGTTAACAAAAAAGAAAAAAGACAGTCCCAAAAAATCCTCCTCTGAAAAAGCAGGTTCTAGCAATACAAAATACTTTTCCGAGGAAAACACTTCACTCAGCGCCTCTGGACAGTGCACATCCACAGTATTTTACCCAGTTTAACTCTCAGCTCCAATTCTTGACGTAAACTAGGGGGGACACAACCAAAGAGGAGAGCAACATTTCTTGAGTCACATCCCTACTGCTTAACACCTACAATTCCCCCTCTGATACCACAGAATCACTGAATACCAATCGGAATTCCAATAATTGCAGTGCTCTGTTTGAAGAGCAGCACTCTGTAACTCTCCTGTTCTGGTGGGAGTCTCTCCAACCCACCAGAACTAGTATCTCTGTTACAATTCTTGCACATACTGGCAGAAGAAGAATGAGCTGTTTTACATTCAGTGTTTAAAACCCACTCACAGTCATCTTTTCTGCTGGTGCATGCACTAGATTATCAGACAGTTACACAAGAAATGCATTATTTGCTTCTAAGCACGCATGTGCCACAACCTGAATCAGGTTGTTTTGTCTGCTCTGTTTATAATACACAAGTTTTAAATAGTAAGCCAGGTAACTTCATGAAGCAACGAGAAGTGAGAAGCACCTAGGTACTGCAGAAAGCAACAGCTAGCAGTAGTTAGGCAAGAACAAGCAGGCATGCAATCACCTCCCTGCTTGCACCAAGAAGCAGGCTGACATGATAGAAATGCAATCTTCCCAAGCAGGCCATCCCAAATTAGTGCTGAGATGAACTGCAAACCATGGATACCACAAACATTACCATTTTTTTCTGCTGGTGAACCCAGCTATAAACAACTTGGGAAAGGATTTGAGCAAGCATATCAGATACTGATCACACTTCTTCCTCAGGTGATCACAGAGCAGCATTAAGTTACTAAATTTCAGGCTGAAAGAAGCTTAGAGTCTTATTTCCTACTACAAAGAGCTCAGCCAATGCCTCATTCCTGGCTAACTGGCTGAGCAGCTCATAAATCTCAGGATATTCTATGATTTTAAATTTCACAATTGTTATTACAAATAGAAGAAAAAACAAAAAACCTTTCAGTGCCAGATGCTTAAAACAGCTGCTTTGTTCCATTACTGTATACCAAATGATGGAATCATCAATTTCTCCCTGTTTTCCATAAGTACATGGAGAACATAAAGAAAGAAGCTCCCGTGAAGTCACTTGCTTACTGTTCACTATCCCTAAGAGCACCAACTGTTATCTGTTGTAAAGTCTGTTTAATTTCGTTTTCCACTCCCAGCAAGCTGCAAGATGCCAAGACGCTGATAAGAAGTCCAACTTGAGGTTTGGTACATGGGGTCCCTGAACCACAAACAACTCAAGTGTTTTAAAAACAGATTTCATTTTGATGAGGCAAAATACTTTGCCATGCAGTAACCTGTAACTCAATCACTTTTAGAATTATAAGAGAAAATATTTAAGTAAAAATAGTCCAGTCACACCGCACTGCATTATAACGCAGTGGAGCTCAGGACATCAATCCCATTAGAGATCTGCATAAATCTTTGCTTAAGCTGCTGAGAACTTTAATTACTTGTCACACTGGAACAGTAAGTCTCTTCCACATAGGATGCATCTTAACTATACAAGTAAAAAGTTTCATATTCAAGTGCAGCATGACTGGACTGTGCCATACAGACCCAAACTAACGCTAACTAGAAGCAACATTCCAGTATTCTACCTTGTGGACATAAATTCTGCTACAATATATCTACATCAACAGCTGCTATGAAGCTATTGTGAAGATTTAATCCTTGAGAGGGTAGAAGCATTCCTTGCTCTTACCAAATACAAATCTGGCAATAAAGGTGCAAGCACTAATAACTTAGAGTTACCCATAAGTGATTGCTAAGACATTTACATCTTTGCTTTTTGAGAAGCCACAGTTAAATAATTAACAAAGAAGAAATAACGTTAAAAAAATAAAACCAACTACAGAGTTATTTCAAGCCAGTATAGTTCTTGGCGTAGGCACATGATGCTCATTTAGAAAAGAAGTGGAAATACAAAGACTTTTTTTTTCAGTTTATTCTCTGTGGATCTAAAGTCCTTTCATTTTGTTGTGAGCTAAATGGTGAGCTGCAGAGAAAGAGGACTTTGCTCTTAAAACAGCAACAGTTTTCTTCACAACAAGTAAACAAAGAGCACAAGATCAGACAACTGTTATTTCAGTCACAGAGTAACAGCTTAGAATCCTTCACACAGCTGCTAACACTGCCAACCTGGCTCCAACTCCCCTGCAATAAAGGAGACATATTTTGACTCATTAACCAATTAGAAAATAAATCAAGTGTCTAAGTTGCTAATAAGCTCTGGTGATATTCACATAATTTCCTCATAACCGGAATCACAGTAGAAACATTCATGTATCCCAGTGAGTGTTGTAACTCTTAGTTCATTGTAGCTTTTGTAACCATCCATATACCTCCAAAGATAACACACCACTCGAGCACCATCGGTCTCCCCAGCACCTTCAGAAGCTCTCCCTGTGTACCAGCACACTCACTGCAGCTAATCTCCATCTTCTCAAAGACAGCCTGCAATGTGCACAACGGCCCAACGTAACCTATGACTGCGGAGAAAATAAAACTGCCTTACTGTAACTTTGTACTGCAGCAAGCCATAAAAAGCGGTAACACTAAAATGTAGACCTATATCTCATAGAACTGATACAGAAAGCATCAAGATGAACCATGTGGTCTTAAAAGTCTACCGTAAATCAAAGGCTTTGCTTATCTTCTTGTGAGAATGTGTTCTCTTTATGTTAATAAACAGCACCAACTACTTATTGGTTTGTTACTGACAGATAAAATCTCTTATTAGTCTAAAACCTAGCTGCAGCAGCACGTGACAATGCAAACTGAAGGTATCACCAGCATTGCATAATGAGGTAATCTGATGCACACTAACAGCTGTGCTATCTGGGGGAAAGGTCCACCCATGAGAAATTCCACGACACACTTCACCTAGTTTTTTTAGCAAACTTTGAACAGCGTGAACCCATAAAGCTTTTCCTATAAGATATATTACATCCAGAACTGAAGACATTTCATTTTTCAAAACCCTACAGTTGACATACTATTTAAGGCAGAGAAGAAGGCAAGGAGCATCAAATCCTAACCTGCTCCTCATGCACAACTCCTCAGGGGAAGAGAACTCCTGTGTCACTCAGCAACAGTGCCTGGTTAAATGGGTTAACAAAGGGCAACCTCCTTCACGCATTTAAACAACCACAACAGAAAGTTAGCTCAGTCTTTTTACTCTTCAAGTCTTAGAACAAAATTATGTTGATTCCTTCTTTCTATCAATATATTTGTAACCAATTTCCAGCAATCCATTCTGCTAAAGCTGTCTCAGCTTACACACCTTCCCTTGCAAGTCTGCATAACACCTCTGCAGCCCTCACTGGGCAAACCTGGCCAGCCTCACTCAGCCCTTCACTAATTAAGAATTTCCTTCCCTTTTCCCACACTTGTCTTATTTATTTATTTTTAATCTCTCTCAAGCACAGGTACAGTATCTCAATATTTTATCAGTAATTTGAATGGCACTATCAGTACTCTTTGCTATCTCCACCATGAATATCTCAGATAAAAGACCTTAGGTTCAGCTGTCTTCTTTTTCCCCCCTCCCTGACACATGTGATGAAATCCTATGATTTCATTTCCATCTCATTTCCATAGCTTGATGCATTGGCAAGCTAAGAACTTTCCTGCTTTAACTGGGGCTGGAAGAGTGGAGAGAAAGCCAAAGCTAAAAATAGAGGGGGGGAACAAAAAAACAAAACAAGAGTCATGTGTCAGATGGGCTAGCATTCTCTCTGCTGCTTTCCATTTAAGACATTGATAAAGATTTACACATTTCAGTTATTACTTCCCATTATAGAGTTATTTTGAGTGATTAAAATGGAAGTGTTTGCTTTCTTTTGAATGGAAATAGAATATACATCTTTAAAGATGAATTTTAGCTGCTTAGCACAGGAAGTTTCTTCAAACATTGCAGATCTACAGCTAAATAAATCCCCCAAATGTTAAGTGACACCTTCCAGACCATTTTCAGAAGTAAAGTCTTGCAGAACACCTGCCTGCTCAGCAGCAAGGGAAAGAAAAACCTTCGTAACTGTCTGCCAGGCAGGTGTGACCATCCACACATATGTACTCTTACTACCACAAACTGATTTCTGAACATAGCAGTAAGAGACTGGGTCAATACCTGATCAGCACAGCTTCATGGAAAACCAGTCTACCAAATGCCAACCTCACAAAGCTATCAGAAACAACTATCTGCTCAAGAGAACTTCCTCACCAACAACCAGCCTGACAGCACCCAGCCCAATGGCACTGACAAGATCTGTATACATTTCCCATTTGTGCTGGCAAAGCACAACCTTGGCAGTACAGCTGGTATGCAGTTGGATCTCACAGTAATGCAGGCCACACCAACAAGCTCAAGTGTTTCCCATCAGCCCCATTCTTCAGGCAACCCTAGCATCCATCTACATGAAAACCAGCTGAGACCAACATTAAGCAGCATTGCACCAGAAGTCATTCTTAAGATTAAAAACCTGTGGGATATCCCACTACTACAGATCAAGTTTCAGTTGCCAATACCACATACTTATGCACTCTGCTGACCAAAACCATCTCACTTCTGTGCTCTCCATTAAAATCTAGACCATAACTGTGGCACTCCACATTTCACATCACCACGAGGTCTTACATAACAAAAAAATCTGGGCTTAAGTAACACTAC